GCCGCGCTCACCGTACACGTGCTGTACGCGCGCGCCGCGCAGCGACACGCGCACGACATCGTCGCCAACGCGCACCGCACTGACCTCGCACCCGCTTATATTAATATGCTGAGAGGGTAACTATAACTAAAGAAATCCCCTGCCTTATCCGGGTTGTCGTCCTCCAAATAACTCTATCATCCGTCTCAGTCATCACTCCTTGATCATCACCTTTCACGCAATCCATCCATCTCTAGGTCTACCTCTACCGGTGTACCCCTCCAACTAGAACTAAAGAAAATGAGACCCTTCAAGCACTACATTCTGAATAAAAAAAATGTCAAAATCGGTCCACTAACGGCGGAGTTATGACGTAACATACATAAAAAAACAGACAAATTTAGTACCGCCTTTTGGGAAGTCGATCATTAAAATGATATAGGGGCGTTGCTTAGGGGGAGAGGCTTAGGTAACACCTCCCTTCTCTCTTTTTTATATATCGACTAAATGAAACTAAAATGCTAAAAATTATGCTGCGCAGATAAGAACTCAATCGCTTTTGAATGATTCTGTTATAGACTTTACCAAGAATGAAAGAAATGTAATTAAAATGCATTCAATCGTTAGATACAAACACAACTAAAACATTTTTTTTTCATTTCATAAATAAATTGGATCACATCTTAAAAGAATTCCTTTCCAAAAAATACCACTAATCTCTAGATCTAACAATCAACTTGTCCTTGACATCTACTATTTTGTTAGCCTGAAATATTAATTTCACAAAATTTTCTTTACAATTTCATTTTAAGTTTCAAAAAGATGTAATGGTGTTTTAATCACATACGTGTTAAGATTGAATGTGGATGGCTACAAGGGAAGAGGAAGACCGAAGAAAGGATGGATTGTGTGAAAGAGGATATGCTCAATAAAGGAGTGGTTTCACATATGACGGCTGATAGAGATGTATGGAAGAGCAGCACATACTGTGCCGACATTCCGTAAGGGATAAGGGCAAGTGGATGATGGTGTTTTATTCACATTTATTTGAATGAAAAAAATATTCAATCATAATTATATTGTTTATCAGTTTGGGGCGTGCCGTGAACGTACGTGGACACGCGGGGTGGGCGGGCCACGTGCGCAACAGCTACGACGCGCACGCGCCGCGCCCCGCCCCGCGCCACGCCCACAAACACACTGCCAACCCTCCCCCGGCCATATACGACGGCACACAACAGGTAAACACGAAAAACTGCCTTCATTAAGAGTGCTTTTTGTTTAATTTTAAGTCTTCGCAAAATATATTGTACAATTACGGAAATTCGCGGTGTATCATTTACAGAAAAAATGCCTTATTAGTTGAAAATACACAAATAACTACACTAATAGCCTATAGGGACAGAATTGCGGATTTTTTTAAATTCATTTATAGATAACTTACAGCTTACATATAAAACATAAGGCGAAACCAAATATCACAGAATTACAAGATAGTTGCAAATTTCAATTATGATAAAATTCACTCTTTGTTGTTTGAATCACATTAAATAAAATAAAAAGTTCATCCCTATTATACGGTATGACTTAAATTGTAACACCTACAAATTCCCTGATAGTACCTAAGTACTTAAGACACTAATGTCTTATAATATTGCAATTATAGATATTGTACTGGTCGGACTCCACGGACGAGATAGCGTTCATAGTGCCGTCTGGTAACGAGATCCTGGAGACTGAGGAGAAGGTGGCTCAGAGCGACAGCCTCAAGTCCTATGTAGATGGGCCTTGTGCATCCACTTGGTAAGTTATTTGCTAAATCACTTGGTTGTAAATTGTTGAAGTTTTTTTTTACAGGAAAATGTCAGAATGGTATAAGACACTTCGAAATATTACGCTCTGTAATATTAAAAAGTGACTTTTAACTGTTTTATTTATTGTATTTTTACGCGCAAAAATAAATCAAAAGCAAGGACTTTAGGTGTCGTTCCAAACTATATTAAAAATCTATGACAAATTTCTTTGGGATCCATTCTTGTGATATCTTTCAACAAACATCCATTAATTTCTCAAGATGATTAGAATCAGCTCTTACTGCTATACAAGTATGAAAAATTTTCTGAAATTAGACTTTTATTTCTAACTAGTTGTTCACGTGCGGCTTCATCCGCATGAAATTATAAATTTATTGTTTGCATTTGTCAAATTCCCAATTGCAAATGTCAAAATGACATGATCTGATGTCAAAGCATGGCAATTTTGCTTCCTTAAAGTTGGCAGCAACTTATAGTCTCTTTTCCACATTAGGGTTTTTATCTAAAATATATAGCCTAAAGCCTGACATAGGTGTAGGGCTCTTTATTAAAAATAGAATTATTCAAAAATATGCTGTGATTGCTGAGATCTTAGGCAACAAAGAAGTGTGTGTTTACGCTTTATTATAATAGTATAGATTATGTATGATAAATTATTAATTACTAGCTTTAGTCCGCGACTCCGTCTGCGTGGGACTTAAAAATATGTGTTCTTCCAGACTATCATCTACATCTAGACCAAATTACATCGAAATCTATTAGCAGTTAAGGCTATGTAACATCTATCCATCTAAGCTTTCGCAATTATTTCAGATTTAAAAACATCGGAAACCTTGTTTGTTTTTTACTGTCGCTGTTTGTACAGCAGTAAGGGTGCGTGTGTGTCGGGGTGCGAGGGCGCGCCGGCGTACGTGCGTAGTGTTAGCGAGAGCGAGCGCGGGCCGGGGCCGCCGGGGGGGCAGGCGGAGCGCGGGGAGCGGCGCGCCGCGCTGGCGGACAGCGCACGCGCCCTCTCGCTGGAACTGGACAAGCAACCCAGCGCTGGCGTCACTGGTACTGCTATATAATACAATTACAATAACGTTTACAGATACTTTTATCCTTAAAAGTACTGTTAACATAAAAATCGTTATAATCAGTTTTTCGTTTAAAGGAAGTGGACGAAGAAATAGAGACTTCACCGCGAAGATTCTCATCGTTTGGTTAGAGGATTTTGAAGACCATCTAAATCTACCCGTCGGTGAGTTGTCATATAATTAATTTATTTGATGTTTTTTTTATTAGTATACAAATAAAATTTTATAGGAAGATACAAATTGCAGGTAATTAAAGTTGTGTAGTGGATTAGTTACTATATACAACGAAAATGATAGTTTACACTCATTACTTAGGTTTATTTAAAGAGAATATAGCAAACACTCAAATAGTTTAATAGTTTCAATGAAAAAAAAAATCTAAATAAGGCACAATTTTAAGAGCGTGCTTTTTGACTTTTGAAAAAACTATCACAACTGTTTAGTCGCGCTTTTACGTAAGCTTATATGTAGGTGCGCACACTACCTTAGGATTACTTACTACTTTACGATTTTTAGTTGTGCGACTGTTTAGTTGCACAACTAAAAACTGTTTAGTTCAATTGACTGAGAAACAATTGACAATCGCACAACACTTGTACCAAATTTAGCCAAAATTGTGCGTCCGCTCTAATTATTTTTAAGTATGTGTGTGTTGCAGATGACTTGCTGCGGTACTGCGAGACGGGCGTGCCGTGGCGGCGGCAGGAGGCGAGCGTGGTGTGTGTGAGCGCGGTGCGCGGCGGGCTGGTGCGTGTGCGCGTGCCGGGGGGCGCGGGCGCGGGCGCGGCGGGGGCGGCCGGCGTGCTGGCGGAGGGCGCGCTGGTGGCGCCGCGCGCGCTGCCCGACTGTCTGCGCCGCGCCGCGACACATCTCGCCCGCCGCACTCGCCTGCAAGCTGAACTGTTTGTATCTTTCACTAATAGATGGCGCTGATCACGAAATAAAACACGATTGTCTAATTCCATTTGGAAAAATTAAGTTACAGCTTTCTGTAATTATATTACTAACCAATCAACTCAGAAAAATAATTAAAATGTAGCCAATGTTACTCACAAACGTAGGTTTTTAATGGTGTGTTTTTTTTTTAAATCGGTAGAATAGTTCGAGTAATTTCTATACATACAAAAATACAAATCTGTCTTTAACTTCATAATGTTAGTATAAATAATCAAAGAAGAATATCTAGCTCAGACAGATTCGTCGTTATCTGTTAGTTCTGTAACAGAAATTGCCAGAAATATATTTTCTGACAAAACTTTGGTCAAAAAATACGTAACCCTACAATGGGCATAACATAATATGGCGACTTGACAGTTACGGTACAAAAAGAACCTATTTTTAACTTTGACAGAAAGGCGCTAGTGAGCTGTTAAAATTGAATGTAGTGACCCACCGAGGCAGATATCCTTATCATATAATAATATATTTTAGTCATTTTACTCGCTTCCAACTATGCTTTTTTGTGCTTGTTTAAATTTTTAACACTTAGAAATATGTGACTATGATTCTTTTGTACCAGAAATATGTGACTATGATTCTTTTGAACCAGAAATATGTGACTATGATTCTTTTGTACCAGAAATATGTGACTATGATTCTTGTACCTCAGGTACCAACCGCCGCACGTTCGTCGGCGTCACATGATCCAAGAAATCGCACAGCAATATCGCCGCGACCTCTCCGAGCCGGAGTTACTCGAGTCACTGTTCCGACCGCCCAACTAACATCAACATATATGTACAATCAGGGAATCTGTCGATGTTACACCTCAAATACAATAATTACACGGCTAGTTTCTTTTTGTTATTATCTAGTCGTTTGCGCAATTTACTTCTACATATTTGGATCTGAAGCGGCATTTGTCTCTTGCAAGGAATTAAGCATTGTTGTAAATGGAGTACGGCGAAATTCCGTGACTGTACCGATTCCATCATTTCTCAGAAAAAAATTGGTTTCGACTTGAATTTTATGACACTTGTTTAGCTCTAACTATTGAGGAAATAATTTAGTCGCCCAGTTTTCGAATGTAACTAAAATATTATATTTTAATATTAATTTGTTTAGTGTTTTTTAATCAGCTTAGTTATTATAATGTTCGTAAGATACGGGTTTCTTACCACGATTGAGTTGTTTTAGCTCCCGATATTTCGGCACAGTTGCATGCGCCATGTTCCCGGGCTGACTGAAGTGATGCGGTAGTGTGAAAAAAAAGCTAAAACAACCCAATCGTGGTGAGAAACCCGTATCTTACGAACATTATAATTGTAAAAACCACGACAGTTTAGAGCTTAGTTATTGTTATTTATTTAATTCAAATAATGATTGCGATATTTTAATCGTAAATAATAGTTTTTTTTAAACTTTCTAGTATTATTAGTGTATTTTTAGGATCTCATAAGGTTTTATTAGTTTTTTTTCTGTCTATATTGTTAACATTCCTTGTTAAAGCTTGACTTTTATTATCTCCAGTAGTTGCGTCCTTCCAAGATTAAATGTACATAGTTTTAAGTTGCACAGTACTTAATATATTTATACAACAAATTATTAAATCATAACTTAAAAATGTGTTTTATTTCTAATGCTTTTCTGTAAATAATTTTTTTCAAATCTTTTTTTCTAGATTAAATTATATTGAAGATGAAACCGAGTATTTTTTATCTGTATAATCTTGACAGCACAGATAATAAAATAGGAATAAAGTTGACACTGGTTTCTAAACTGACAGTTACGATACGTTCCAAATACGAACTTGACACATGTTACAAATAACATTTAAAAACATGTTGACTTAAAAATTTTAGACACTATTTAGCAGTGTCTTTTGTACGCATTTATTTTACCTTTGTAATATTTAATTTCGTTTTATTTAATTTTGATTCGTGTTATGAGAAATCTGTGTGGGTGATAATGCAGATAAGTCATTTATCTGAAGTCGGGAGCGGGGCCGGGGAAAAATATTGTGACACTGAACGTAAGTAATCTTACTAAGATTATAAGTGCAAAAGTTTAGATGGATGGATGTTAAGAGTTGGTAGCCTAGACTGCTGAACGGATCTCTATGAAAATTGGCATAGATGTAGAGGATAATCTGGACGAACATATAAGCTTATTTTAATTCTACGTAGACGAAGTCGCGGGCGAAAGCTAGTCACAAATAATACAATAACTTCAGTTTTTTATGTTAAAACTTCTTGCAGATACAAATACCGTAGTGCAGAGAGATTTGGTTACTCTATACGAAAATGTTGACACGAAACTTACTTCCAATAACAAGAACTTAGTTCGTCCTCCGAACCAGTACGTAGAGACTGTCGTCTACAATGAAGATCAGGAGTCCGAAGGCAGCGACAGTGAATTTTATACCAACGAAGACTTCTACGATGTTGTACTTATCAACAAAGAAAGAATAGACCTCATAAATAGCTTCCCATCTTTAGATAAAACGTTATGTCAAAAATTTGGAAACATAGCTATCCAAGCGGATCAAGGAACAGATTGTACCGATAGTATTTTGTTTAAAAGCCCTATTAGAAAGGAACAATTTAATTCTTTAAACAGGATGTTGAATTTCGGTGCATTCGACGGCGCATTTTTCTCAACGTCCCTTCTAGATTTTATATGCTGCAACAATCTGGATGATAATTCAAATTTATACATGGATAACATTATTCAATACGCCAGACGTACGATCGAACAATTAAGACGTATTAGCAATGGAGATTATTTGACAGAAAAGGCTAAAGAAAAATGGAAAACCTTGGGGAATAAATATGAAGATCGAAAAGACAATGAGGTTGTTAAGGTAGCTAGTGTGAGTAGTAACCCTTTGCGAATCGAATGCAACGTCGACGCGTTTAAAACAAGATGGCGTGACTTCATACATTCAGAGTTAGATATCAGATCGTTAACGAAGATCTTAGAGAAGAGAATCATTAAAATTCCGCGCCTTATTTACGGCTCGTTTACTTTTCTGGATAAACGATGCGAGAATAATTTAGTCATAACATGTCAGAAGGAAAGTGACCAGGCAGCGAGTGGCGATGGCAGTAAGTCAAAAATTGACATCGTTGTACAACTTAAATCATCCAATACTAACAATATGGGGAGCGAAATTGAATCAGTTATGGTCATACGCAATAGTTTACCTAGCATGAAAGATGGTAAGATGTTATTGCATATCTTATAGAATAATGTAAAAATAGTTTTGCTGTCTGTTTTAATTTGTTAACATTTCCAGAATCTTGGCTGCCATTAGAATTTAACTCATTAAAATCTGATACCAACATCAATAATAATGTACAAAACCAAATAACACTCACGGAGTTTAATGATTACGGGGAAAATAGAAATGTACGTACCTTCGCGAAAGGGGATGATAACTCTACAGATTTTGCGTTTCATTGCGATTCCACGGATACCAAAAGTTCAGAACTCTCACTTTGTGAAATAACCTCACTGTTCACGATGGCTACGAACGACGGAACTTCAAATTACTCCAGCGAAAGAAATTGCAATATCGATCAAGTAAACATTGAAACACAAATATCTTGTTACCGACCTACTGCGGACGATCTCTTCGTAACATTGCAGAAGTTGGGCACACAAACTGTCGTGCTAGAGGAGACTGACGAGACATCCTTATCGAAAAAGAAATCACCGACAAAAGTCAGAATAAAGTCGCCATATGAAAATAAATCGCACGCACTCGAAGAAAAGAAACGACGAAAACTTTTGGAAATAAGAGAAAGGAGGGAGAAGAAGAAAAAATCGCTCAGCGAAAACTGTAAAGTGACAAAACATAAACATGGGAAGGCCGTCATGGCGCAGCCCTCGAACTCTGTTACCAAACTATCAATAACTAACAAATCTTTTTATACTTCAATTTATGGCGATAAAACAAATGTCGGCGGCCATTCCGCCAAACATTCTCACGTCGAACCGTTAGACGATGATAATGACGATGACTCAGTGAAAGATGTAACTGTTTTGAAAAAGGAAAATCGTGTCGGTTACGGTTACTATTTGGATGATCCGGAAACAGAAGTTATGAATATGAAATTTAAACACAGACATAGATCTCACAAGAAACAATATAAACCACCAAATTGTTCCAACTCAGCATCGAATTTTGATTCATACGCCGGAGTTGCTTCCCACAATTCATCAACTTCTGAGTTGAAGCCAAAAAGTGAACCTTGTGATAGTGACAAGTAAGTCACGCTTCAATTATTTACCGCGTAATTTGTTTTAAATTATACAATTCTTGGTATACTAAAGAAAGTACACAGACTGCGATAAAAATTTTAATCTTAAAATTTAAAAAAGTATGTATTTTCAGACGTGCAAGAAGCTGCTTTTCTGAAATGTTGCACAACTCACCTCGAGAGAACACCGACAATAATGAAAATAACAACTCCAATAAGAAATCCCTTACTTCAGTGGAGTGCAAGAAAAGTATAGATAAAATTTATGAATTAATGAGAAAATTGAGTAAAGTAGATTCCTCAGAATCTATGTACCCCTCGAATAAAGGTACGCCAGCTGACACCAGCTTCAACGATTCAACTAAGCACAAAAAAGCAAAACTCGTCAACGCAGACAGCTGCGCCAGTATAAAATGTGAACTGATCGCATCCAATCCTAGTATTTTTAGCTTCGAAGGAAAAAATAATGAAGCCCTTTATACGGACAAAGGAAGCAAAAAATCTGGACTCGAAGCGAATAGCATTACAAAAGTTATAATAAGTTCTAAACCCCACGTTAGAGCTGAGAAAATTGAAACCAAACCTCACAAAAGGGTCAGAATTCACAGTCCTGAAAACATTTCAAAAAATCCTCTAAAGGCTATTTCTCACTTGATCAATGAATTCGATAACATTCAAAAAGGTAGACAAAGAACTACGCTGGAACCGAGGGATTATAAGAAAACAAATAATTTTGTTGAGAGCAAAGGTTTGCCTCGATTTAATTTGCCAAAAAAAGTAAACCGTGAAAATGAAAATAAAGAAGGCAAATTGGTACCGAATAAAAACATATCGAACATCGACACAAAAAATCAATATAGAAATCCTATGGTTCGAGGTAAACCAACTGAACCGATTAGTAATATGAATAAAATAGTTGAGAGGGAGAAGAAAGTAGTCGATATAGTTGATGAAGCTTTAAGGGAGGCTCGGGGAGAGGCTGTCAAAGGTCCTCCGAGACAATTCACGAGACTCGACAGCTTGGCTCAGCCGAAGAAATCTTACGTGAACGCTCAAATGGAGGCTATGAGACCAAGATATGGGAGGAATTACCTTCCTGGACCTCCAGCTCAAGTTCCACAACCTCAAAGACCAGTGAGACAAAGGAGAAATGAACAAGAAATTATCTACGTATCAAGTTCCAAAACAGCTAATAATGTACCGCCTAAAGGTCTGTACAACATATATTAAAGCTGAGAGATGGCGTAACGGTTAGAAATTAGCAATAAATTAAGAAGTAAAAGAGTTTAAAGATTATTTTAATTTTAGTTACAGACAAGTACAAAAGAGTTCGACGCACGCCAAACTCCGGGCCGATAGAGATCATAGTGCCCCAGGCGCCTGCGCCGACTTACAAGCCGCGGCCTGTCCCCGAGGCTCCTCGTACGTCGTAAGTTGTAGAATTTCTGTAAGGTTGACACTACAACTTGTTACATTAAATTCTTGTCAGTCAAGATTTCACAATTATCTGCAAGAACTTTTTTACTAATTCATCTCTATTTTTTAGAAAGAAGATGATACCATTTGAATCTTATCCAAAAAAGCGGCCATTCACAATGTCTGAATCAGTAACAACGAATAACATGCTGCAAAAATCCTCAGTAGCGTCCGATTTCCCTGAATACCAAATTCTTCAACATTCCAAAGATGGTCCGAGTAGTGGTTAGTTTCTTTCCTAAGTATTTTTTACGTTCTTAATTTACGTTCGTATAATTTTTAATTTATTTCTAGTGGCGACGACGTCTAGTTTTGAGAACGATTCAATAGGTGAAAATAAACTAAGATACGATCCATTGCAAAATGAAGTTGCGGTTTCCCTTTCAGTTATTACTGAATCCAAAACAACGATGTCTTGTAACGATAAGAGAAATAACTTTGCCGGTACGTTAACCTCTAACGATGAGCTCATCTCCATATGCTCAGATTTTATTATAGACGTGTTCGAAGATAAAAATATTCTGACAGCCGTTTCTAATATTACTAAAAACACAGAAGGTAATGATGTTTATAAGAAAGAAAGTAATAATGAAATTCAAGCGATTTATTCTGATACGAACATTCCGCATAACGGAATCGTCCGGCGAATCGACAGCTTGGAAAAGGCGTTGTACAACCAAATATCCCAAGGTACATTTCCGAAGCGGTTGAAAATCAAAAAATTAACGTTAACACCTAAACAATCAACGAATCAAGTGTTATTATTACATTGTGGAGATGCTAATTCTATGATTGAACAGTCCCGTATATCAAAGAAACTACATTTTAGAAGAAATAAAAGTATAACGAGCTTAATCAATATGCCTTTGTTTGATTCCATTCAAGATCGATATTTCCCAAAGCTTCCCGTTAATATAACGACGGTAGGATATGTCTTTGCTAAGCCAAAATCCATTGAAATAAAATCGATCGAAAGCAGTGCCAACGCAAATAGTAGATGTATGGGGATACAAACTCATGCTTGTTCGAGTGATAAAAAAATAACTGACGAATACTCTAATGATGAGAAAGGTGTACAAACTATACAAGTAAATGATGTTTCCCAAAACTTAAATAAAAATTTCAGAATAGAAAAAGTTGATAAGAGTACGGGCCTAACAAAATCTCTCCTTAATTTAAACAAAAGTAAGGAAAACGAAAAAGGAATAGCAAAAGCCGAAAACATTGAGAACACGACTTCGTTAGACATTTTAGTTGAATTGTTGGATGAAATTGAAAAGATTACGAAATATCAAAATCTCAACGCTTCTAAAGAACAACATATGGAATTACACGAACCTTACAAATTATTATCAAAATCACATAAACCTGCTGATAATATCTGTGATGTGATTAAAGTTGACTTAAATCGTAATTTAACAAAAAAATGTAAAAAAACTTCACTAAATTGTGTTGACAAAGGAGTTGCGGTGAATATAACAAAAAATTGCGTCAATGAATGTACAGAAACACCACAATATCTTCTTAAAAACTACAGTGGAATGGAGACAAGTTCCGTTACTGCAAATGTTACTTTAAATAAAGAATGCATTGATTTGGTTACGAATGCAGACTCTCAAATGTCGCATAAAAATCCCCCAAATTCTGTTACTGGGATTGTAAGTCAACCGTCTAGTAATTCTCTTATATCATTATATGACTACAGATCCTATTGTTTAAGAAAATTTAAAGTAACTCCAATTCACAATTACGATGAATGTAATAAATTTATCGAAAACAAAAAAAAGTTAGAAAGTAATGAATCAAAAGATCACGGAAAATATGAAATAATACATGTAAAGAATAGCGCCCAAAGAAGAAATGAAGGAGTTGGCAAGAATCAGAAAGAATTTGATATTCTCAAAGTGAAAAGAGATATTCTAGTAACCGTTTATTCCATTTTAGTGTTTACTGTTTTTGCTGCCTTGTCTTTTCCAGAGTTTATATATCGGTCTTAATTTAAATTATATAAAACTGTTAAATCACGGGAATTCGGAATATTTTAGCATTCTTTATTATTTATTTTATACTTATGTGTATGTTATAATCTTTTCTATTTAAAATTTTATGTGTACGTTTATACACACATATGAAATGTATGCGGAATTATATATTTTGAAATATCCTAGTTTATTTGATTATAGTATTAGTTTTATTGCGCGATGCTACAATAGGGAGTGAATTATTAAGATTTTCTCGATTTCATGGCAAACACCAATATCCAAATTACAAACAAGATTTTAAATTCACATGGCGCGAATTGTTTTTAGTTGCGTTCCGTTTCACAGTTAGCAGCAAAGAGGATTCTGCATGTAACATACTCTGTAGGATATGTTAGTATCATCTGTTTACCAACATCCCTCAGGTGTCTTTCTCAGCTGTTAATTAACTGTCAACTTACTGTCAATAGCACGTGTAAATGCAATGCAATAAGATTAATATTAATAATATCGATAACCCGTGTGTTATAATGCGCCTAGGTACTGTAGTAAAACAATAAAGTATTTGCTACTGAACCTGTACTTTTAAAGAAAATTCTACATTTTCTAAACCTCAAAGTAAACATTTCTTGGAAAGAGATATGAACATAAATAAACCATGGCTACACTCGGTAAAATGAAGGTAATTTTTCTTTAAATTAATATCGAATCTGTTTACCGTAGTATAGTGACAATACGAATTATAAATGTTTTTCTTGCAATCCTTATATTAACTTATTAATCTTAAAACAATTCAGAAAAAGAAGAAACAAGTTGAGTTTACTGCGGATAACATTGATAGTACAGCTCCCGTGAAGAAGATTCTCGAAGATTTGCGCAATAAGAATATTCAGGCATATAACTTTTTTAATTACAACATAAGACAAAGGCTATCAACAAAGAAAACATTGCCAAACTTTCATTTTACTGTGCCTGGCCATCCGTTAAATGCATTTAGTGAAGATTGGGACGGGCAATTGTTTACAAATTATTTTGATCAATTCCCATACAAGAGCACTAATCCGAAAATTGTAACAGAGTTGAACCATTCTAATAAAACTGATCCAGTAACAGAATTAATAAAACTTAAAAATAATTGGCAATGGCAATGGAGATATTTAAGATATTCAGCAAGTAAGTAAGAGTCAAACACACTATAAACAGATTCATTTTAAATTTTGCATCATCAAAGGTCCTTGCGAAGACAATAAATTTACATGCAGTACCAGAATAACCAGGGTAGTAAAATATTTACAAACCATACATTATCTTACTATATCACTGATAATTTTGAAGCCAAAACAATACAATTTAGGATCCTTCAAGAAGTGAGCCTATCATATCCTCAAAGGCTGACAATGCATCTGTTGTTCCTCTGGTGTTGCGGATGTCCATGGGCGTTGTTAATCACCTTGATGTTCACGCCACTCATTTGCCCCCTATTATTATAAAAACAAGGCTACCTCAATTTAGAGTGACAAGTTAATAGTCTATACTGGCCAAATAACTTCAAAGATATGTGTAATGTCAATCTGCAAATATATCTAAACAGATATGAGCAGGTTGCTTCACAATTTCCTTCACTATAAGACAATTTGTTTTTTTTTTACTTTTTTCAGCAATTAACAACATGTTAACGAAATATGAGACTCTAAATGATGATGTTGTGCATTGTCCGAAACATTTAATAGACATGGCAAAGCATTGCGATAGTGATCCAGACCCGTACTTTGATTGTTCATATAACTGGTATTATTCTGGACATGGCAACTTGCAACTCGTAACTATACAATGGAATGATTATTTACTACATAGTGAGTTTAATAAATTATGTAAGTATCATAAAATAAAAGAAATTTGCTTCCTACTGTCTCTCCCTGTGTGTTTGGATATTTAAAACTATGTATCAGATTGATGCAATTTGTTTTATAAATAGTGATTCAAGAGAAAGATTTATACATATAACAAAGTCGAGAAATATTGATTGTTGAAGATTTCTAATGTGGTGAAAATAAAATCATTTTCCTATCAGCATTGGATCCATCCGAAGCAGGGGCGAGTTGCTAGTCTATACTTATATTATACACAGAAAAGATTTGTATTTTTGTATGAATTGAATAACTCAGAAACTACTGGTCTGATTTGAAAAATTTCTTTCACAGTTAGGTAATTTATATGTGATTAACATAGGCTATATATTTTAATTTCACGGGAACGAAGTCGCGAGCAACAGCTAGTACCTTAATGTAAAGAATAACTCAGTCTATAAGAAATGTTAAATTTCACGTTATTTTCTTTGCAGTGTTATCTGATTATAATAAAAATACCAGAACAATTAGCAGTCCAGTAACCACATTTGATTGTGGCAATGGTATGAATATTCTAGAAACAATATGCTCTTCACAGAACTTGATCGCTTTACGTACTAAGAATAAAGTTTTCATATTGAGAATTGTCTCAGAAGCTGATGAAATACATTTTGAGGAAATCAAAACTGCACATTCAGAAATGCCGTATACTGGTATATCTTTTGATGGTTTTCATAAGAACATTTTGTATGTAACTACTTTAGATAACAAACTTACTATAGTGAATTTAGATAGAATGAAAGGAAGAAGTGTAAAATTAACACCAAATATACCTGCAGAGAATAATTGGAATACCGTACTCAGCTCGGAGAGAGGTTTCTACACTCATATATCAACAAAATATATAACACTATATGATAAACGAACTAATACTGTGATATACCAATGGGGAGATCTTAGAAATGTGACGGATGAAATTTTATGCAACGATATAACATGTGCTTTACCAACCGAAACACCGTATTTGTACATAGGTTCGGATCATCACCTTTTCGTTATGGATATGAGATATACACATACACAAAATCAAAAAGCCAAACCTATAAATAGATGGACCCATGGTATGCAATGTCCACCGACTTATTTATCAAAATGCATGTTCGGTTACAACAAAGATTTGGTCTGTCTTAGCAGCCAATGGTGTGAAGATATGTGTGTTTTACCAAACGATTATGATACTATGGCTAAAGAATCTGATGTGATTAATATAACAATACCATTCCGACCTCCGAGTATAACAGATACACTAAAAACTGCCCGTCAGAAGTTACTATGTCATGATTTATATAATCCGATAGACACAAGACTTCGTACGGCTATAACTGGATGTTTGATTACTGAATTTGATGAAAAGTTTGATGTGTTAATGCAAAATTCTTTAGGTGATATCTCATGTCATACAATATTTCCTAATCATTTGGATATATTTATGGAAGACGACAGTTGTCAATGTCTCGATGAATGGAGTAAATCTTATAAATTAGACAGGAAAGACTTTTTAGTCACTTCTGTAGTTGATATTGCAGACATCTGGAAGAATTTAAAAAGAGTTCCCGAGGGATACAGGATTTTGGATAACAGACGTACAAAGTCTAAATGTAATGAAGAGGAGATATTTGAGATATTTGATAATGAAGGCCTTGATGAAGGTCTTCTGGAGTTGTGGACGAATAAATTAGAAGACACTGTTGACCAATCCTCGTTTGCGCTTCATTTACATTTCTCTGACAGTGATGAAGATGGCAAATGATTGATTATTAATTTTAGAAATCGGTGCTTAATCTAGTTGAAAGCTCTAGCTTTAGAGCCCGCGCACACCTTTGATTAAACTATCGCACGACTGTTGTGCGATTGTTTCGCAGCTAATTCAACTGTTTAGTTGAACGAGTAAAAATCATGCAATGTGCACACAATATAAGCTCATAGGAATCCAAGTTAGACAACAGTTGTACGATTGTTAAGTCAAAGGGTCGCGTACACTCTAAAACTAATCCTATTTTTTTATGTTATAATGATGGTAAATTTATTTGGAATAAAATTTCTTCCATATGCGTATACAAGTTCGTCGATGTAACAGTGCGTTGTTTTAATCTATGACCCTTATTGGATGTGAGTGCTGAAGCATCAAAAATGATCTCTTTGTAATACTAGTTGGGAATTTCTACACCTCAATAAACGAAATACTAGATTAATTAACTAAAATTGTAAATTTATTTATATTAAATACTTATTCCATGATTTTGTTTTTTTTTATGGAACTACATTCAATAATCGAAATTGATTTTTTAATACAATGTACTTCCTAGTAACTGAAAACTGCATACATGATCCCAATTTACAGAACAGGAAATAAAAATCTACGCAAAAATAACCGCCCGTTCCTGTCCTAAATAGTCTTGCTCATGTTTTTGAATCTTCAATTTCTGAACACTTTTATTTTAATTTCGAATCTGTTTCATCACCTCAACATTGTTTTGTTAAAAAGTCGACGATAACAAATATTTTTGAATGTAATCGCTATTTATGGAAAGATTTTGCTAAATCAGGACAAGTTGACTATACACAGATTACCTCAAACATTTGACAGTCTCGCACGATCTGTGTAAAGGTAGAAAGATATGGCATACAAGGAGACATTTCAAAGGGTAACCTGCGAAAACCAGCTTCGTTAGTCCATTATTCTTATGTATTTAGTTATAAGCTATTTGACGAACCTATTAAAATAATTTGGATATAATGTCGGTCAAACACTATACTGGCTTACCCGTCTACGGACGAGGCCGAGATGGTTTAAGTTGGCCGACATCTGTTTAAGAAAGCAGTTAGATAACTAAGTTTTGTATGTTTTAGACTTATGGGGCATTATCGTCTCTTCGCGACAGTCCCTTGTAAAATTTAAAAAAAAAAAACGTTTCCGAGTACGGATTTTTAATCATATCAAGGATTTGGCTAAATAAAACAATTATTTTTTTAAAACAACTATATTACCTATCTAAAATGACTAAACATAGAATCATACGCGCAGACAAGTCGCAACACAATCAAGCTAAGTACACAAACAAATAACTTCGTGATAACCATAACAAGTAAATTTAAATTATACACAGGGAAGATCATGTCAAATTGAAGAAAATGTACAAAGTAGTATTAACAGATCAACAAAATGCATTTTAAAGAATAGTAACACTTGAATTAAACAATTCGATGATTTGCCTTTCTTCAAATAAAACATACTCAAGACCATAGACGGAAAGCGAAGTGTAGGTCAAAGAACGTCTTGGCTCAAAAACCTACGCCAGTGGTATGGAGAGCATCCGTTCACTTTCATAAGTCGCTCTAATGATCGCCGACCTTCAAAAAAAGATGGCACTTTTAGAAGACCATAGACAGTAAAAAATATATAGACAAGGCATACTAAACAAAAACGAACACCGTTACTTTCTTTGAAAGGTACTATATCAATTGTCAAGTCAACGGAGGATCCAGGGAGGGGGGTCATGACCCCCCCCTCTGAGCTGATTGGTCAAGAGCTTGACAAATTATGTAAATGTATTTTGTCAAGCTCTTGACTTGACCACGACTTTGTGACCTCCCCCTGGCGCCAAAGCTGGATCCGTCCTTGTTTCAAGTTTAGTGACACCTTTTGTCCTCGTATGGGCATGTCAAAAAACATTTTACAAAATTATATGATAAACACTATACCAAATAAATCAAACATTTAAATACAATTAATTATATTGACATGTTTTGAGGCTATCAATATTTTTTAAGTGTTAGTGAGTATGTGAAAAATTTCGGAAGTGAAGTGCTTATGCCTCATCTATATATTTTAATCTCTTTGCATAAGGCCAAACATTTCGAAATCAATTGAAATGAGAAATTATAACAACCTAAGTAATCAATTTTACTTTTTTAAGATTGTAATCACAGACATATTTAACGTTAATTTATAATGCTGAAACATTACAAAATGCATTAAACATATATGTAAATAAAATTTCTCTTTTCAATTCAATTCGTCATATCATTAAGAAAAAGCACTTTTATTGTTACATTAAAAAAATTCAATTTTTATAGTCAACATGTGCGCTGACAATAAAAACATTTAACAATATTTTAAAAATATTAAGAGTCTGTCCCACCAAATTGTAAATTGACTTATAATAAACCAACGTAAAAAATATGTGATGGAAATATCGTATTTTGTTACCATATCTGACAGTGACGTCATTTTTAAGCTATCTGAGCCTCTATCAGCCAGAGGTGGGACAAGCCCTAAGTAACGTAACAAATTTTCAATTGTAAATTGTGTAATTAACAAATGCCCTAGGTTTTTTTTATTATTCAATGCAAAAATGTAGATTAAAGTTAAATTTAAAGTAATACTTAAAAATGTTTGATTTTGTTACTGTTGCTAAAGTATGGCTTTATTTCATTGTTACCTAGTGATAAATTGAACTACAATTTTTATAATAAGTGTTAAAACCTGCCAATTTAATAACATAAGGTGGCACTTAACTAACATAGTACCTTTCAAAGAAGTTACCGGAGAAAAAATGTTCACTATGTCTAGTTTCTTAGGTGTCTTAGAACAATATGTCCTAAACTATGGAATCACTTTAAGTACCTAACGCCTAGTGAAGCTCCGGAGCCAGTTCCTTGTGAGGGGTTGTTCTGCATTCTTCGTCTCCCGTTCCTTCTCCTCCATCTGCTCCATCAGTTTCCTCTGGTTCTCCCTGAACGCCGCGATGGGGTCATCGAACTGGCTGTAGTATATCAACACTTCTCTTACGTCTGTCACATTTGACATTGCGATAGCTGGAAATCATAAAAAAGTTAAAATAAATAGCTATTCCTAGTAATTTTGGGCTGATTAAAAAACTTAGTTGATTTTGTGTTCTTCCAGATTATATTCTTTTTTTGTAAAATTAAGAAATCAAAGAAGACATTAAGAACCGTTAAGCCGCTGTGGAGAGACAGCTGTAGTAAGGACATGTTATGCGACGAGACAATGGGGACATAAACATAAATAATGTGGATGGCTACAAAGGAAGAGGAAGACGGAAGAAAGTATGGATGGATTGTGTGAATGAGGATATGCTTAAGAAAGGAGTGGATTCAGATATGACGGCTGATAGAGATGTATGGAAGAGCAGCACATACTGTGCCGACCCTCCGTAAGGGATACGGGCAAGTGGATGATGAAGCTGTGGAGAGAGCAAACATCTATCCATCCATCTTTGCATTTATGACAGTAGTAAGAAGTAAGATTTAAAGGAAAAAAGATAAAATTGGAAGATAAAGTGCAAAGTAAAGTCAATTTATAATTGCAGTAGATTTGTCTTAATTATTTTGTGAAACATTAAAAAAAAAATAATGACACTATTTTCAATTTTCTTCTATCCCTTTCATTCCACTCATAGTCAGGATAGGTTTTAAACTTATTGGAATAGACCCATTTTTTGTTACTTTTAAATAAATAAGAAAAAAGTAGTCATTTTAATTACAACTTAAATCTTAATTTCCTAATTTCTTTTATAACATAATACTTACTCTGTAACAAGTTGGCGAGGTCCAACAACGCGGTGTCGTCATCATTGCCTTTCCACTTCTTCAGTACGAGAGAATTCTGCGGGTGGAACTTGATAGCTTGTTTGTTCCAGTCAACTACAATCACCTACAAAACAGAGAAAAACACGAGTATATTATATTTAGAAGTTAACTACATTTTGTGCTGTACAGTTGGGGAAACTGGCGGTGGGACATTTTATTCAATTGTTTAAACATTTTGTAAAGAGACACGGAACCAATACAATTGATTATAAATATGTGTACAAAAAAAAGTCAATTACTGATATATGGCTAATTTTTTTTTAATTATTGTCCCTTCGTTTGCACTTATTGCTATTTTATTGGTTACTAGCTTTTGCCCACGACACCGTCCGCGTGGTATTCTAAAAAAGAAAAGTGAATAGCCTATGTGTTCTTCCAAACCATCCTCTACATCTATTCCAAATTTAATTAAAATCCGTTTAGCTGTTTAGGCTACAAACACTAACATCCATCCATCTATCTAAACTTTTCAAACATCTCCAAACCTGTAGAAAGAGGTAGAGTTTGTCTTGTTAAAATAAACAAGGCCATTTTTCTAAAAAGGAACACCGCAGGTTTTCTCTACTGTACTTAGGGGCGAAGGGTAATGATCTACAGAGGGGGTGATATTATCCATGAGGAGTCACTATTGTAGTGAAAATCCTTTTATAACATGTAGACCAATATTTTTTTTTAAATAATTCAGAATAAAAATTAATTCTAGACCTAGTAATATAAAATTTACATAGAAAAACTTAATACCTTTGATAAGTCCCGATTAAGTCCATCCAAATTCTTAACATGTACACCATCAATAAAATGTGTTGAATCTCTGAACAGCCTGTACGAGATGTACTTGTTCTCCGGATCCAACTTATCTAACACCGGCCAGATCATGAACACATTCTCCGATGTGAATATAACCACTTCATAGTTTGAACTGGATACTGTTTGGAGAAATTGCTCGACGCCGGGACGTTTTTTGAACCTACAAACAAGTTAATAGTATAATTAGAAATTAAAAAATCAATCAATATAATCGTAAAATGCATTTTTTGCACTATTGTACAACTGTGGTTTAACTTAGCCTACACATTTTTATTAAATCACTTTCTGTACACTAAAGAAGTATGTTGTATTCACTATGGTAAGGAATTATTTAGTTAAATTCTTGGCAAAAGGATAAATAATAAACACAATCTTTGGCATTAATGTCTTGATATTGCCAGTATTAATATTTAAACAAATTAAGCTATGCATCTTATATATACGAAAAAATAGATTCAAATAACACACACTATTCTTTCAAAAATAATTATAAAAATCACACACATTTATCATATTAATCATACTAATTTTATAAATGCAATAGTTTAGATGGATGGATGTTTGTTAGAGGATGTAGAGGATAGTTTGGAACACATAGGCTACTCGCTTTTATTTTTTCCAATTCCATGCGGACGAAGTCACAAGCTAAAGATAGTTAACGATAATTAAAAAAAAACATACAGACAAAATTAAATTTTTGGAGTTAAGTAAAAACTTACCTCCAGCCAGTTTGATATGACCAATCTGGATGCATGAGGACATCTGTGAACTCTAAGACTAGTGTATAAGTTGGCTGGTACGGAGGTGGAACGGGATCCGGTAACAGTTTCTCACGTGACGGCTCTTTTATCATCTGAAACAAACAAGACTTCTAAAAAACCCAGTAGAGTAGAACCTCGATAACTCACACCTCGGTTACTTAAAAATCTCTATAACTTCAAAAAATTATATGTCCCGTTCCCATCAGAGCCCAAAACCTCTACAACAAAGACCCTTGATAACTTAAAACCTCTATAACTTAAAGTATTTTGTGTTTCCCTTGAACTTTAACTTATCAAGGTTCTACTGTATTTAAATAAATACTGATTGATTTTTTTTTTGTGGTTTTATTACTTCTAGACCTTCTATTTTTATTAGCATTAAATGATTGAAAATAATTTGATATTTATCTATTCATGGCAATGATGTCTAATATTTCTAGTACAACTAGCTGTTGCCTGCGGTTAAGTCCTCGCGAAATTAGTATCCTGTTCTTTCAGAATGTATACTACATCAGGGTCAGATTTTTAAAATCTAAGTTTAGGTATTCTGGACATATATAATAACAAAAATTGATATATCTATTTGAATCCACATTTATATTAGTTAAAAAAGTGGCACATTAAAAAAACATTTGTATATCTTACTCTCTCATAAAATGTGAGCTCTTTCCATGTTCGTTTTATATATTGTAATACTATGGGCATTTGTGAAAACTCATCCTCAATGATCTTCCCTTCATCATCATGTCTCGGTGCTCCCATTTCGACAACCAGGCAAGTTCCCATTACTGTCATGGCTCCACCAAACACTGCAAAACTGTTTTAAAAAATCAATAATGATTCTATTGTTTAATTTTTGTCATAACATAAAGTTAAAATAGAGCTATTCAAACCTTCAATCATGTAAGTGTTTTTACCATTAATTTAACCAATGTTTGAAATATGTTCAAACCTACAAGGCACAATTTTTTTTTGAGGGGTGAAAAAATATGTATGAAAAAGTTAGTGATTAGTAAATAGGAAAAAATAAAAAAAAAGAAAATCCAATAATTACACAAACTAAAGTAACATTTTGATTCAATTTCGCAAAGTCATGACATCTATAAGTAATTGGTAGTTTTATAATGTTGCTACATATCCAAAGCATCTATTAACATCACAAGAGATGGTGTTATTAACATATTGTAGCTGTAGGAACGTTAGAAATCAATGTTTCACATATGGTACTGGGTGCCTTGTTAAACATTCTAGATAATTACCCAATCTTCATTCTCTTCCAACTCTTCTCATTTTCCTCGGTTTTCTCTTTATTCTCTTTTTCAAAGTTTTCCTGCTCCTTTTTGATTTCTTGAGCATCTTCAGGTTTTAGCACCGCCTTTGGAAATAATCTACCAATTATATCAACTTTTTCTGGCTCTGATTCATTTTTATTTGGTTGCCCTGAGGAAAATATACTCAATTGAAGGAAATTTCTTACGGAATAAACAACACAGATGATCTGTACATACATAAGGTACTATTTTGCAGATAGTTTAAATATAACCTAAATGTACAATATGTATCTAAAAGATGTAATAAGGTAAAATATGTAAATGAAAATGTAAATGTCCCAAATTTATCAAATTCCTAAAGAAATACCAAATTCTTTACTATGTGCAAACTCTATATCAATACAAAACATATTAAGTATGGTTATTTTTATATTAGAAAAAATCCGTTTAAGTATTTTTAGCATGGTTGATCTATTTTGGCAGCTTACAAATCGTATTTTTTAATAACAGACGTACAACACCGATAATTATTTATATAAATTTTATTCGATTGGACTTTATTCACAAAATTATTCGTTTTGCTAGTCGGAAAAATACTAACCTATATTCTTTTCAGAATAGTATCTCGTTGAATTTGCAGTGAGGAAGAAAACATTTTGCCTTGAATAAAACGTAGATTGTAGAGCTGTTGCTCTAGAACACGCCACTCGTGTTAGGGAAAGAACTTTCCTAAGAGACATTTTGATAAAATTACAAATCACATACTCTAATATGAAACAAAACAAATCTACGGTTCACTTTTCACTTCCTCAGCTGCTGTCAAAAAGTCAAAAGCAAAAGCTGCTGGACGGGCAAAGTCCCAGGGTTGCCATTTTTACTTGTAGATTGGAATGAACGATATTAATTGGTTAAACCGCATCCGCGGAATATCGAGAAAAGTAAAGAAGACCCCAAAAGACTCTAGTTACTAGTTAAGAATTTTGAAAGATCTTTGCAGAGAAGTCCTGTGTTTCGTCAATCCTTATGGGAAGGAAGGATTTTTCAGTTTTTCAGTTGTAAATGTCATTTTAATACACATGATCATTTGACTTTGATTGCAGTTATGTCATAATATGTCAACTGCTGCAAAAAACATCGTTCAGTAAATAAAGCGGGAAATAATTTAAATGGTTTAATGTCTAGTAATTTATAATATAAGATGGCCACAAGAAAAGCTTCTAATTTGGCTAAACAAAGTACTCTAATGAGTTTTGTAAAAAAGAGTCAAGTAACCGATGGAGAGAATAGGAGGTACTTAAGAATTTGATTATTTTCATATTCTTGTATAGTTTATTTGATTTTCTTAGCCCCACTGGACTTCAGTTTACTCACAAAAAAAAACACGTCTTCAATTAGTATTTATTTATAAAAGTTTTTTAACTTAAAAAAATCAACTTCAATAATCCTTTTCCTATTGCTTTGATGAACAGTTCTGAATATTTATAGGTATTATAATGTAAATATTTTACAATAAATGTAAACTAAGACAAAAACATTATTTTTAGTAGATACCTCTTGATATTTAGCCTAAAATAACCTATTGCAAACCATGTTACTTATAAACAATTATCACCACAGAATTTTCCAAATCACTTTGTCTTTTATGATAAATAGTATTTATTTTTTAATATTCCAGAGATTCTAATGAGCCGGCCTCAGATAAGAAATCTAAGTTTGTTTGGAAATCAAAAACAACAACAAATGCATCTTGTAAGTATCCTTGTAATGTTTTGAAAGAAGCAGAAACAAAAATTTTTCCTAATTCATAATACTAAAGAAAGAAGTTCAGTCATAGTTTTTGAGTTTTTTTTATTGAGTATTTTCATTTAAACTAGTGACTTAAATATGACATACTAGCTGTCCCTGTGGGTCTTCATCTGCACGAAATTAAAAAACTTTATTTTACTTTACCTTACTATGGCAATCTTGCTTCCTTGATGTTGGCAGCAGCTTACAGTCTCTTTCCCACATTATGGTTTTTATCCAATTTATCTACCCCCAAAGTTCAATGGCGTGAAAATATATAGCCTAAAGCGTGACTTAACTGTAGGGCTTTTCATTACGGAAAGAATTATTCTAAAAAATGCTGTAATTGCTGACATCTTAGGCAACAAAGAAGTGTGTGTTAACGCTATATTATAATTATAATATATAATATGACATATAATTTAAAAATTTTCCAACCAAATGCTAATTTGCCTTTGTTTAATTATTTTGTAACCAAAAATATTTAGTTGGTTTTACGAACAATTTTAATTCTCATTTTCAGGGACACCACCATTCAAAACTAATTCTGAAAACGATAAACAAAATGTAAGTGTGCATTTAATTATAAATATATCAATAAGTAATATAGCTTTTGAACAAGTATCTGAGATGTTTTACTTTAAGATATATTTATTTATATTCAGATAATTATTTGTTTAATTTCAGAGTTAATTAAAATATGTGTTGATATAGAAATAATATCCTATAGTTCTCATCATATCATCATCCTTTCCCTGTTCCTATTCTATTCCAGTAAGGGTCTACACTCCAGATTGTCGTCCTCAAGGTTGATCTAACTTCCATCTCAGTCACCACTCTCTTAATCATGTCACCTTTTATTTATTTATTTAAAAATCACTAAGCACATGTGCTGGTCTTCCGTGGTATTTGAAAATAGTAGACACAGCTTATATTACAATTTACACAAAGTTTTATACAATAAGGACATAATATTTAATAGATAATAAAGTAATCTATAGATTTACTTCCTATAACACCCTGCATAAATAGTTTATGACAAAAATATGCAAACTGTGGTAGCACACTTTTGGAATTTGTCGGCACATAAAAGTGCCGCAGCACAGTAGTTGAGAATCAGTGGACTAGGCATAGACAACATCCTTTTCACCGGCAACTTACTTGAAAGGTACTGACTTGTCAAGTTTAGAATGCCACTTCATGACCTAATATTGACATGCTACAAAACATTTTACAAAATTATAATAAGGTCCTCTTTTGTTGCGGAATACATTGATGTTTTTCTCAGTCTACCTCAACTCATGTACCACTCTTGTATTTTCTTGACATTTGTATGTAAAGTTTGTAATGTAATAAGTTCTTGTATAAATTTTCAGGATTCCTTGACCAATGGCAGGACATCACCAAGTTTGTTAAACAATATAAATAATTTTGAAAGTGTACTACTAAGTAATAAGCTAAATGAAATAGAGAAGGCAAATGAAAATCAAAGCAATGATATTTTTGATGCTATGGATGTGGTAAGTTTTTATAAGTATTATTGTAATAAATAAATAAATAAATAAGTAAAGGTGGGAATACATGGAAGTAAGATGGAACAGCTGTTTGCCTGCCAGTTAATAAGAAAGTGACAAGTTATCACCTCAACCCTTCTTGCTACTTTCATTCATGTCCTTTCATTTCATTTAATAACCTTAGCTGTCACAATCTTTTTATAGTAAGACCATACATACTAATTGTACGTTCTTATCAATAGATGGCGCTGTATTGTAAATGTAGAAATTACCTTGAAGTAACCTTCAAAGTAAAATAACGTGAAAAATAGCATTTATTTATAATTAAATAAACAAAATGATTATTTTCATTATTATTTTTGTTCTTTAAAAATAATGCCTCTATTTTGGGACATTTCAATTCTTCTACATTTGTCATTACCAATGTTTACGATAGATGTCGCTGTACGATTCTTGCTTTTTATAATACGCGATGTTGAAAATCTTTCTCCGGGAATGACCTCAGCGGGCCGGCGTTTGTAAATCATACTTACCTGGCGTAGGGGTTACCGTGATCACGAAGGCGGTTCCCCCAGGGCGAGGCCCCTCCATTGCACTGCGGTTGGGTTGACCCCTGCGATTATCCCTAATGCGGATAACTCGGACGCGTAATTTTTGGTAGTGGGGACTGCGTACGCGCCGTCCCCTCATAATAAAACTAACAGCTTATCGGAATAGGAATTCTAGAGAAATGTTGAGTTAGACTTGGAAATAAGTGAATAATACAAATTGAAATCTAGTTTCAAGTCTTACTTGGTTTGGTTACCTAGTTTCTATTTCTAGTTCTAAGCAGTCATTGCAATGGAATGGATAATTTTATCAAGGGAAAACCATTACTATGTTATGTTTAGATGCGTTATTTATTTTTTAAGGATATTTCATTCAACGAAAAAACACCACCGAAAAATAATAGGAAAACTAAAAGCACTACACCAAACTCTAATAAGAAAATCTCAAATGAAAGAGGATTGCAGACGCCGAAAAAGATAAGTCCAGTAAAAGATAAAGATCCGTTAAAAAATCTAAAACTAGACAATTCTGTGTCTCCTTTGCTCAAAAAAATATCATCACATCCTGCTTTAAGAAAAAACGGAAAGGTAAATATCACTTATATTTATTTTTATCTTAACTAGATCCTAGATATATTTAGATAGATAGGTTTAAAGTATCACCTATCGTAATAAAAAACATAAAAAAAATATCTAATCTTAATTCTCACTAATATTATAAATGTAAAAGTTAAGATGGATGGGCGTTAGAATCTCCAGAGCTGCTCATCTGATTTACGTGAAATTTGCCACAGATGTAGAATATAATATCGAATAAGGCTACTTACTAAATTCTTTTTCAACGTAGGGCCTGTCCCAACAAATTGTAAATTGTCTGACAATCCAACGTCTAAAATATGTGATGAAGATATCGGATTTTGTCACCTTAAATGACAGTGACGTCATTTTTTAGCTATCTGAGCCTCTATCAAGTACTGGTGGGACATGCCCTAGATGTTATTTTTTTCAATGTCCCAGGCAAAAGCTGTTAATGATGAACGTTAATTTATATTTCCAGGACGAGAACTGTGATATAAATGATTTAGATAATTGTAAATCAATGTATATAGAATTATTAGAAAAAATCAGCACCGCGTTCGATAGAATACCAAATTGTATAAAACAAAAATTCCCAGGATATGATTCCAAAGTGTACACAGAAATTAAACATTTAGGTGCTAAGTTGAAATATGTTATTAATAAAAAAACACGCATAAGAACATCAATGGATTTTCGTGAATCGACTATTAATAATAACACACATAATAATGAAATAAAACCACAAATAGATGACGAAGACAGTGATTTAGAAAACTTCGACTTAGAAACTAGTAATTTAATTAATAAAAGAAAAAATACACATAACTATACAAAACCTGAGACATCAACGCCTGATATTTTTAGCAACAATAAGCCAGAAAAGACTATTTATTCAGAAATTATCGCTAAAAAAGCTTTATCATTCGATGCGGCATCACCAATAAATCTAAATTCTAGCGTTCAATCAGAATTAGACAGCACAGATAATATATCAGATAGTATTAACAAAAGTAAAGGAAAATTCGTTTTTAAAAGACCATCCAGATTAAACGACGAACAAAAAATAAAAGATGTCCCCTCTAATACATTAGAAAGGTTAAAAAATGCAGCGGAAAATTTGAAACCCTTACCTGAAGTGAAACCGACGAAGTTTACTCCCATAGAGAATAGTTCAGTCAAATTTCAAGCAGCACATTTAAGTGTGAATTCTTTAATGGAATTTGATGAATCTCGAAATATATCACTTGAGGTGGAAAATGACGTAATTGATGACGTAGATTATGAAATACCCTTAGACATAGATGAGACAGATATACCAGAAAGTGCATCCGTTATTAATTTAAGTGATTCAATACCAAATAGTGGCAGTGTTAATATAAATAATAAAGAAATCCCAATAGACGAAGATGGATGGCCCGAGTATAGGGTAGAAGATTTCGAAGACGATATACTGCCAGTGGAAAAAGGCGTTATAAATTTGATGGACCAATCAGTTAAGGAGACAACGAAATACGAAGGGATGGGTGATTTTCACGCGGGTACGCAAAATGACGGAATAACAGGTACTTTAGACTGTAGAAATTTTTTTTTGTGATTTAGAACAGACGTCCTTTGACCAAACTATCGCACAACGGTTGTGCGATTGTCGATTGTCGCAACTGTTTAGTTGCACAACTAAAAATCGAGTAGTGTGCTATATAAGGTCATAGGAATCAAAGCAAGACTAAACAGTTGTGCGATAGTTTACTCAAAGGTGTACGCGCGCTCTTAGACAAACATTACGCTACAACTAGTAACGTTTTTTCACACATTACATTATCTAACTTTTTTTTTACAGTATTACTACAGTTTACGTCACGATTTTCGTAAAATCACTCAAATATGATAGTGGACATGTAATATTTTTACGTTAGTTTGTTTTGTTGATTCATGAGTTGGATGAGGAAAGCCAGTTGTATTATACAGGGGAATTCGACGGCTTGGACTACCCTCACACCGTCCCCATGATGGAGATGTTCAGGGAGAAGTTCGGTCTGAAGTCGTTCAGGCCCAACCAGCTGCAGGTCATCAACGCCACGCTGCTGGGACACGATTGCTTCGTACTAATGCCTACTGGCGGCGGTAACTTATACTTTTAAGTCACTTTACTTAATCTTAAGTCAATATTTGTAACTTTGAAAGATTTTTTCCTGAAAATAGTGTAATACCAAACACGTTAACGTTAATACATAATTTAATTGGCCAAGACAGTTGGATAGTAGCTCAGGTGTGGCATGGATTGTCGGGCACTGGCGCCAGTAAGTGTTTACATTATACCAGTTGTATTCCAGCACAAATTTGGCTTACTTTATTGGCATAATGTAGATCAGTCATTACTCTTAGTGACGTTGGAAGAAAGAATGTATTATTTCGACACACATACACATCGCACACATCATTACACATTTTTACACATCTTTACTAATTTTATAAAAAGGAGGGATTTGTCTTTTATATATATATGTTAATTCCAAAAGGATTGAGATTTTTAAAAAATTAAACGAAAAGCAACGTTATCACTGCGTAACATGGACTATGTTTTTTAATTCCACGCAATCGATCGTGAACAATGTTTTGTATGACCGCGTATGTGTGACATGTATGTGTATCAGGCAAGTCGCTGTGCTACCAACTGCCGGCGATATTAAGCCCCGGAGTGACAATCGTCGTGTCCCCGCTCAAGTCACTCATACTGGATCAAGTCAACAAGCTGCTCTCACTCGATGTGAGTACTGATGAATGACTGAATGATTGAACGAGTGAATGACTGAATGACTGATTGGTGAATGGTGCAGATACCAGCGGCTCACATGTCAGGGGACGTGTCGCTAGCGGCGTGTGATGACATCTACCACAAGCTGTCGCTGCGCGAGCCGCCGTTGAAGCTGCTGTATGTGACGCCGGAGAAGATAAGCAACTCACCTAAGTTCCAGGCCATGCTTGATACATTATACGCCAGGGGAAAGATCGCAAGGTACGTACTGCGGGTTAAAACTTTACTCACATTTGTAGACATGTGGTCATCCTTTACATTCACTGTGAAAAGAAAAGAGACAAATGTTTTCAGTTATTACTACAGTGGAGTTTAAGGGTGGTTCCCGTTGGGCCGATCGAATCCATTCAATCAATTTATGGGACAATCGGCCCAACGGCAACATTCTGTTTTACTGTTAGACTAAGAATGACGCTATACAAATTTTGAGATAATTTTTTTCACTTTCTTAAGAATTACTCGACTTCTGAAAATATCGACTTCTGAAAGTATCGACCACTTCCAGTTTAGTTTAAATCTTTACTGTTTAATAGTTAAATGTAAAATAATTTTTGATTCCTTTAACTATACTTAACTCATCAGCCTTGTTACAAAAAGAGCTTGTTCTTAAGATATGGGTTTCTTACCACGATTGGGTCGTTTTAGCTCATTAAGGCACAGTTGCATGCGCCATGTTCACATGACTGTAGTGGTAGTGTGGAAAAAAAAACTAAAACAACCCAATTGTGATAGGAAACCCAATCTTCCGAATAGTTTTAAGTTTTAAAGAGCTTGTAAGAAGTTTTTGGAGTTATACAGGTTCGTTATCGACGAGGCTCACTGCGTCTCCCAATGGGGTCACGACTTCCGACCTGACTACAAGCGGCTGTTCATGCTGCGGGAGAGGTACCCCACCACCAACTTGATGGCGCTCACCGCCACCGCCACTCCTCGCGTCAGGATGGACATCCTGCACCAGCTGAAGGTCACCGCCTGCAAATGGTTCCTCTGCAGCTTCAACAGACCGAACCTTGCATACAGGATCCTCGAGAAACGACCCAAACTCGTCAATCAAGATATTGCTAATATTATCAAGGAGAAATTCTTTAGGTATGTCTTATTTAAAAATATATCTTTTATAGAACGTGTTCTAATTATGCGACGAGCTGTGAGCGACTAAAAAAATAACGGGTGCGTACGTGACGCAAGCGAGCGAGACAGCACCCATGCGAAAGAGACAGCGTATCGTACACGCAAGTCTCAGATAAATTGTATGTTACTAAAATTGGCTTATTTATATTTCTGGTCAAATTATTTTACATTTCTAGAGCTGTTTCCCGTGAGTCCGTTAGCGCGAAATAAATAAATACTAAGTAACTTTTTTATCTAGATTATGTTCAATATCTGTGCTAATTCTAATTTAGATCTGTTAAGCTGTTATTTGCATATGCAGTATAAAATATCCATCCATTCCAACTTTTACATTCATAATAGTAATTTTTATGTTTTTTAAACCTGCACTTTACACATTTAATGAAAGTATGACTATAATAGTTAATTTATTGTATTACTCATTTACCTGGAGAACAATTTGCAGGGACTCAGGTATAGTGTACTGCTTGTCCCGCAAGGAGTGCGAGCTGGTGACGTCAGACCTCCGCAAGACTGGTATCCAGGCGGCCGCGTACCACGCCGGACTCGCGGACAAGAAGCGCGAGGCGGTGCAGGCCAGCTGGGTCGCTGATAAATATAAAGTTGTATGTATAGCTGTTGCCCGCGACTTCGCCCGCGTGGTGTTAGATAACTATGTGAATAACAAAAAACTACGTATCCCTCGGGAACCGGAAATTTTCGGGCATGAAACTTATCCCATGTGTACTCTAGATTTTGTTTTATATCTGTGCTAAATTTCAATAAGAAATGTTGAACCGTTGAAGAATTATCGAGTAAACATTAAAATACATAACTAATGCATCCCACGGGAACCGTTACTATATCCGGTATAAAAAGTAGTCTATGTCTTCTTCCAGACTATGCTCTTCATCTGTGCCGAATTTCATGAAGATCCGTTCAGTCGTTTAGGCTACAAACTCTAACAAACATCCATCTAAACTTTGGCATTTACAATATTAGTATGATATAGCAGTGGTAGAAGTCAACATCTGTTCAAATGTGCTACTTGAGTTGCAACACCTTACACACAAAACAAATTTGAAGCAATTCCGTGTAAATTATGATAAGTTTGTACCGACCTTCTTTTAGTCTTCTTTCCTTTTCCACTCTTGTACAGAGAGAATGGTATAGGAACATTAGTAAGGGAAAATTCCTTTTCTGTGCGACAACACGAGAAGGATTCTTTGTTAATTATAAAGGGAAGGACATCAGTCATTTCTTAATTTTGGGTAAATCTAGTGCTCATTTGAACACCTTTTGTTACCAAAAAACTATCCCTTTACTCTCTATCGTCTTTAAAAAATACATTAAATTGTGTAGATCTGTGCAACGATTGCTTTCGGTATGGGCGTGGATAAGGCGGATGTGCGTTTCGTGATCCATCACAGCCTGCCCAAGTCCGTGGAGGGGTACTACCAGGAGGCGGGGCGCGCCGGCCGCGACGGCGACCTCGCCACCTGCCTCATGTACTACTCTTATAGCGACGTTATGCGCTACAGGAGGCTGCTCGACTGTAAGTATACCTTTTTACATTTGGTGAAATGTTTACTCGATGTGGTGCATAGTTTA